GCATAAGTCAACCAAAAGAATTTTCTTTTCTTTAGTTATAAAGGAACAACGAATTAAGTTAATAAAGTACTGTATTTCATAATAATTTTTCAAAATTTGATGCCTTTCAGAAAACTCACATAAATCCTCCCCGGCGTCCAATAAATAAGCTAAGTACCAACTAGCAAGACAAAATATTTATCATTGGGTATCACTATTTTATTTTAAAATTAGGAACAATTTTTTTTCATATTGGAAGATAAATGCTGTCCATAATTTTTTCATCCTTGAATGATTTCAACCAAAAATATCGGTGTTGAAAGATCTATTTACATATGTTGATACAAATCGACTTATAAATGTGTATATGCAGTAATGTCTCTGGATGCGACATATATAAGCATAGGATTTAGGCATTGTACTTTACGAATCTTAGTATATAGCAATACATTGTCTAGCCATGGTGCAATGCTTAGCAATCTAGTTTCGGAAGCCATTACTACTGGAGTGATTTCGAATCTTAGTGAATGCCTCACATTACTGGCACTGTGTTTGACCGGTCTAAGATTTCTCATAAACCCCAAATTCAGTTTGTGGCACCGTCTGATTCGAATTCAATGACAAGAAGCTGGAGAGTAATGGATTTTGCTTTTCAATTTGGAAATTAAGGTATGTAAAACATTTTGTAATTTTTCAGTGTTACAAGAAAAAAATGACAATAAAAATATGTTCTAGACAGACAACTGACACTATCGCACCCGGCCGGAAGTTACTGCCGGCTACTCAAACGTCTAAAAGCGTCACCGCGGAAAACAGAACGAATGCCGTTAACTTCCGGTGACTCAGCGTTTTTTAGAGAACGGTTCACAAAAACTCAAAACAAATGAAACATTAACATACACGAGCCTTCCTAACTAAAAATAATTACCAGAAACTACTTTATATACACATGGTGTCCGAATGAAACCCATGTGTACAGTCAAAAGGAAGAAGGTAATTTTCAGTCATCACCCCAAAGATATTGCTAACTGGCTACGATGCTGATATAAACACAGCCGATTTCTTCCACCAGATCTTGACGGATTCGGATCGTTTCTCGGCCTTTGGCTGAGATTCGATCACGGCTACGACTAGCTCGGACCGGCTCAGGCCTGGACAAACCAAGACCAGCTTTGACTAAGCTCCGACCTTGTGTCACATCCTGACTTAGTGGGAGTCAAGTAAATATCTCTTGGCGGATTCAGATCGCTTCTCGGACTTTTGGCTGAGATTCGATCACGGCTACGTCTAGCTTGGACCGGCTCAGGCCTGGACCAGCTTTGACTAAGCTCGGACCAGCTTGGACATGCTATGACCAGTTTTGGACCAGTGGCCCGAGTGGAAACACTCGGGTCTCCCACGTTAAACCGACCTTGTGTCACATCCTGACTTAGTGGGGGTCAAGTAAATATCTCTTGGCGGATTTGGCCTCGGGGTAGAGCGACGAGCTCCCCCTCTCATCTTCGTTGACCACACGAAGCAGCCAAACCTAGCAGCAGCAGCAGCGGACCGACCCAACTTCAGTAGAAGCACCCGGCTACATGATATGGACTCGTCCTTTTCAGGACTATACCCGGCTACATGATATGCACTAGTCCCTTTCAGGACTATACCCGCCAAATGATATGCACTAGTCCTTTTCAGGACTATACCCGGCTACATGATTTGCCATAGTCATTTTCAGGACTAATCTAGCCACGTTATTACGAATGTCCTTTTATTAGAACTACCAAGCTGATATCTTGCCCGACTGTCATACCAAGGACGAACAGATTACACCAGCGCCGACGCGCTCTTTACAAAACGGCAGACATCCGAGGATCGACTGGACCTCGAACACCGCTGTTCCATCTGCCTACCTCCGAGCTGTCGCCTTGAAACCTGACAACGCTCCTTCAACTGACACTCTGTAACTTCACGACCGAACTCCAGCAAACAATTTCCTGTACATAGTTTTGCCAGATTATTAAATAAAATTTGGCTTATACTTTTACATCCTCGCCTTTGTTCTCCTTGCTTCGATCGTATTACCCTACATTATTTTTCTGCTTGCGGGGTTAACAGGCACCTGCTTAACGCCGCAACAACACTATTAGACAAAATCATTTAAAGTTCATTGCGAATTTGGACTAAAAATTGTTAGGCTTTTCAGACATGCGCACAGCATATTTATATTCAAAGTAAAAATTATAATCATAGTAGGCTACCATAATTTTCCAAGCCTCAAATCGTGACAGCTTTCAGTTTTTATTGTTGGCATAGTTGTTTTAATTATAAATTGTTTTCCTAAGCCCACACCCCTTAACTCATACAATAAAATGGGCAATGTTTAACCTTCCAGTCCGCAAAAAAGAACGTTTTTTCCCTTGACACCGCTATTATTTCAACTACCTTCACGCTTCGGCAATATTTATTGTTTTAAAAAGCGACGATTAGAATTGAAGCAAAATGAAGTGAATTTATACATTTTCTTTGCTTTTGAGAATTGACATAAAAATAATAGATACTATTTATTCATTAGCTTGTTTATTTACAAGAATGATTTATATTTACAACATTTTAAAAACTAATACAATTGTATTAGAACTAATACGATGTAATGTTTATATTTACCAATTAATAAAGAAACAAATATGAAAACAATTTTTTATTTATAAATTTATAAACAATTACAAAATTATAAAAATATGTTAACCAACTCTAAGGAAATCTTTATTATTTGATAAAGTTCGAATCGATTGACAATTAGTCGATGTTTAAGCAACCATTCCAATAAACAATCAAATAAATAAATAATGTTTAATATTTTTGTTGTAAATTCATGGAGTCATTGTGATCTCCATCATCATTTTGCTGTCCTTCTCCTATACTGGTTACTTTCCACAGCTAGAGATCCCTGTCTATTACACTATAGATATGGCGCGAAGAGAAGAGCTCGATACATACCTTTCTCAAGGGTATTTGCCAGAAAGTGCATGTAAGAAATGTACGTATGTGTTTGTGTCATGTTACTTCAGGACATGAATGGCTATGGCTCTTTAAAACTTCCTTTATTTTGTAACTTTCAGCAATATTTGCTTATCTACAACCCCTTCTACGTCCATTTGCTTAATCTTCTTACTTCTCTTGCCTTCTATGTGTCATAAATGGGACAAATATATTTAAAGACTCACATGAGAAAACCGTCACATAATATTAAGGACTTAACACACACAAACATTCATATATATACACGCGTGCATAGTCATGCAAGCTTTAAGTCACGTGTCCTTCAGTCAGAGATTTTTAGCGTGTATTGGCCTTGTTCAAACTGCTCATGATGCCATATTATACGACATGTCCCAGAAGCTTTAATTAAGGTCCGCTCAACATAATTACGGTATAAACTACAGGTGGGTTCTGTGGGTGTTAAATAAACATAAATGTGCCTGAGCAGGTTTCTGCAACACATTGTTACATCCAAAAACACACACACACACACACACACACACACAATATAAAAGTGGACATTGAAGTTAACACTCAGAAACCTCTTAGTGTTGACTTCAATGTCCACTTTTATATTTTATATTTACAGACGCTTATCACTGATATTGAGTACTTTACACTATGAATATAGCAAAACTATATTTCTTCATCTATCTATATATATAATATATATATATATATATATAGAGAGAGAGAGAGAGAGAGTGAGAGATGAAGAAATATAGTCTCAAGGTGTGCTATATTTATGGGACAAAGTGCTCAATATCAGTGAACATGTAAATATAAAAGTGAACATTGAGGTCAACACTTAGAGGCGACAGGCTGTTTCATGCTAGACGCAATCGTCATGCCTGACGATTGCGTCTAGCATGAAACAGCCTGTCGCCTTCAATGTTCACTTTATATATATATATATATATATATATATATATATATATATATATATATATATATATATATATGGTTATTCAAAAAATAAAGAGCAGATTTCGAAAATTCAATAAAAAAAACAAATGCTAAGAAACAGAAACACGTTACTGGATACGAAAAATGTTCAAAGTCTATTATTTTATGCTTACACTTCACAAATCGCAGTACACAAAATGACTTTTCTTGTGATGTGGGCATTTTAAGGGTTGATACAAATTATAAAAAATTAAATTTATGCAAAATCTGAAATAAAAACAACAAATACGAAGCATTTAAACAAGATTGAAAAGAATCATTTATTTTAATAACTTTGAACCTTTTCTTATCTGGTAATGGGTTGAATGTGTTTCTGTCTCTTAGAATTTGTTTTTATTAAATTTTTGAAATCTGCTCTTTCCTTTTTAATAAACTATATATATATATATATATATATATATATATATATATATATATAACTAATATATATAAGCTTGGCATAGTTTGGGCATAAAGCCATAAATATGAAATACCCAGTATGTATTGAACCTACTTGTTAATATACGAGACCATTTTGTAAGTCATTGCTTCGCGCCAAGGTTTCTTCTATTGTCTGAACTTCGGCTCAGGTCAGTGATTCAGAACCGCCGTGCCGCGGCACACTAGTGCGACGCGCTATCCTATTAAGTGTGCCGCGAAATATTGAAGAAATCGCGAAAAAAAACCCAGGCACTGGTTCCACACTAAATAAGCTGCATAAATAGTTAATTAGAAACATTGAAATAAAGTAAGTTCATATTTAAGTAGATATATTTTTAAAAAAAATCTATGGTTTTATTTCATAACATTTAAATATATACCCTTTAAAAATTTTGCTAAGTGCACCGTCATATTTTCATTTACTCCTAGATGTGCAATTGCTTAATAAGGTTGAGAAACACTGGCATAGGCCAAAACCAAATGGGAAAAAAATGAAGAATAGGGCACTGTCATAATCATTTTATTGATTCTACCTTGATTTTTATCATAATTTCATTAATCGTCTCTAATTGTCGGCGAACGTTGGGCATTAGGGCGTGGCTTAAATGTCATTTCGATGGGTAGCGTTCAAGAGGGAAAAGAACTCCACTTGTAGAAAGCAGAAGACATTGGAGTGGCAACATTAGATCAGAGTGAGAGGCAAAGAGAAGTAAAGAATGGCTACAAACGGAAAGTGAAGAAAAAGAGGAAAGAAGAGAGATGGAGGAAAGGGAGAGAGAGTGAGAGTATGATGAGGAAAAGAAAGAGGTGTAAAATGGAAGAGAGAGAAGGAATGGAGAGAGAGTGAGAGGGGAATGGGGAGGAGAAAGAGGGAGAAACATAGAAGGAGAATAGGAGAGTAAAACTGGATGAGACAGAGAGAGAGAGAAAGAGAGAGAATAGGAAGAAAGGGACAGAGCTGAAGAACGGAAGAGAGAGAAGGAATGGAGGAAGCGAGAAAAGAAGAGAGAGATAAATGAAAGGAGGGAAAAAAAGATAGAAAGAAGGGAAGGGAAGGGAGAATAGGAAAAATGTTGAGAGGTATAGAACTGGGAGGTAGACCAGGAATGGAGGGAAGGAGAGAGAAAGAGAGAGAGAAAGAGATGAGGAGAGAGAGAGAGAGAGAGAGGCGGAGAGAGAAATATTGGAAAAGGAGACAATGGTGGAAGGGAATGGAGGAGATGGAGTGGGAGTGTTAATTTACTATTTTTGAATCCAGTGATAATTACCATCTGACAGAATGACCACATAGCGTAGGAGGCTATTAGGAAAAGATTACAGGTGATGGAGATATGAAAAAAAAAGTGGAATTGACGCTGGAATCATTAAAAGTTGGAGAAAATATCAGTATAGAAAAAAAAAGTTCGTTTAAATGCAGTTAGAATGGACACAAACCCGAGGTTGGGTTTCCATATTTGATGACACTCGATATTGAAATATAATGTGCTTGTCTGTCACGATAATTTAATTACCGTGTTTCTTCAGGTCAAAGGCAATCGTGCCTCTACAATTTCTTTATTATCTGTGAGTTGCCATGACTTCTTGGGAAAGATAGCTGAATGATTTACTGTTGCCGTCTTCTACAGTTTGAATTCAAAGTGGTACTTCTCCTAAATTGGTTAGCAACCAAGGCTAGAGTTTACCTTGCTATATGGAGAAGAAATGGACTCAAACCTTTTCCAAAGGCATTAGTGAAAAAGTAAACGCAATAAACTAGACTGAAATTGAACTTGTGTCTGCCGATTAGCGGCTGAATTAATGTTGTTATACTCGCACATCCAAATTTAATATGATGCTTTATGCGATTGCAAAGTTATATTAAGACACAAAAATTGTGAAGCGGCCAGTTAGGTTGTAGAAGCAAATAACTGATTGCGTTTTGGTTAAAGTTAAGAGATTTTTTTTAATTTGAACCCATGATGCAGTACAGAAAAGAAGAAAAAAAAGAAGTCCATCAAAGTCGTTTGTGGAGCATTCTTGCGACTTCTTGTTTCCTTTGTCAACTTTGATCTTCAAAAATATAAATGCAATATCAATCGTTATTTTCTGTTTCTTAATTCCTGAAAGAATTAAGAAAACAAAAGAGATCGATTCTTTCAGGAATTAAGAAGACAGAAGATAACGATTAACATTGCATTTAAATTTTTAAAGTTCAAAGTTGACTGGGAAGCAAGAAGTTGGAAGAGATTTCCACAAGCGAGAGGTGCGATAAAAGAAACTATTAACATAGAACTGACAATGACATCGAGCCATTTCAACTGTAAAATGATGAAACCCTGTCGCCAATCTAGTAATGTGCTTAAATTCATAAAGTCTTGGTAAAATAGAGGAAGTTAATATTTATTTTCAAAAAAATACAAAAATATGACACAAAACCAAAAGTGGCTATAGGAGAAGGCTGGTCTGTCTTATTTTAAACTAGCTAGTCACAGTTACCGACCCAAACATACCACAGTATCCATTATACCAAAACTACACATTTTTACTTATCATTCTTACTACAGCCACCATAATACCTCAATGTCTCTATGAAATCCTAACTAGTTCTCATATGTACAATTCGTACAGTAGAGGACAGTTCACCAGAACAATTACTATGAAAGTATTTCAAATAGTTACGGTGGTGGGAAGTAACCGAAGCCGAGATGCCAGGTCAGGACCAATAACATCGTACATTTTCTTTGGAATTTATCAAGAATATCTAAATATATAGCAGGAGAAATTCGCAGATTAATAGAATTTTATCAACTACAGAACGAAAGACAATGATGTTGTAATCAAATATATTTTATGTTTAAACTTAGCAAGGGACAGTCATGTTTGTATCATTTCATGTAAATTCGATTTATATGTGTATTAAACTATGCACGCAGGATGTTCTTCCTTCAGTTGTTGGCAGCGTTGTTAAAGATGAGAAAGTAAGTCACTGCATTCCTATTTGGCATGCGTATGAATTGCAAAAATCTATCAAGAAGAGTGGGAAGAGGTGGAGTTGAAGGAGAAGCAGCAGTAGCCATTTAATATCAGATTTCTACACGCATACGAAGAGCCACTTAAGATTAATAATGGCCACTCGTATTCGAGGATACCAGTCTACTAAGGTGGCTAGCTAATCCCTATCGCAGACGCATGCTCAGGCGCATTTTGTGTTTGTTCGACACCTACAGGTTTATACTGCAAGTATGCTGAGCAGACCTTAGTTACAGTCTGTGGGAGAAAAGCGTGTTATCGAACGTGATCTAGCGTGAACAAAGCCTCGGTCACCTAATTTCACTCACAGGGCTTTGGTCAACCCGTGGTATGGTTTCCAGGCTGGGATCACCTCCCCTAGATCGATAACATCAAGAAGTCACTTTCCTGACAAATCGACAAAGGTGAGATTCGAACTTGGGTCTCATTGTCAGGAAGCGAACGTTCTAACGTAGAGTCTTACTAAATGAGGTTGTTGTAAACGCGTACAAGGAGAGAGTAAGAGGTTTATATTATGGGGACATGTAGGATAGATAACGGTTGAAACTAGACTTGAAGAGATGAAGATCATAGTGATCGAAGAAGAATCCTTTTGGAAGCTGAGGAACTGCCTCCTTGCTAATGGAATACGAAGGGAATGAGGATGAGTCGACTCAGTTTACTTGAAATGGCGGGACTTAGCTGTGAAGGTTTGGACTAGAGGAATTATGGAATGTAGCTCGCCTGAAGATTTGCTGTGGGAATAGCGATAAGTTATCGAGGGCCTAGCAACGTTTCGTCTGTAAGAAAAGGGTTTTAAGGTGAACAAATTAACTCTAAAAGCGTTCTCGGTATAGTTGGTGTCTCCTTGCGCACTGTCTACCATATCAAGATCATAGAAATGGGTAACCAGAAGTTACCAGACAGTGGCAGTGCCAGCAAGAATCAAAATCAGCTCTCCATTAAAACGTTTTCCAGACTGAAGGCTTACGGATCACCGAAGTTAAGTAACGTCGAGCCTGGTCCGTAGCTAAATGGGTGACCGCCTGGGAATACCAGGTGCTATAAACTTGGATGTGCAGGTGGTGTAATGGATAACGGTTCATAATTGGAAATCGGTGAGCCGAGTTTCAATTCTAGTCGGGTTAGGATTCGTTATATTCACATACTCGCAAATACCTTTGGAAAAGATATGAATCCACCTCTTCGCCCTCCAGCTATGGGTTAATTAGTAGGACTTGTATCAGTAAATCATTATTATTTCCAGAACATTATTACAATCTAAAAATTACTTCTGGTTTTAAATAACTGGCAAAAGGTTGATAAGCCGTAAAAATCAATCAATCGATCCAGATCGAAACTGTTAAAGCCCCAATGACATTGATGCATAAAAGAGTTGTGGGGCTGAAAAAGGACACAGAGGAAGAGAATGGTCATGACGACCTGAGATGAATGATAGATCATTACCCCAAGATTCTTCTTCATGGAGTCCACGAAGGACAGGAATATGAAAAGGTTAAAAAAAAGGGTTCAGTTACTTCAAGAATCATGGATTCATTTTTATTATATTTTCTGACGAGAAAATCTTCAAAGTGGTCACTGGAACCACGATTCGATCGCTATCTTGCAGGGTTAATGGTTGATTTCAAAAGTGAATGTCCGTACAACCGTGCATGACAACTTGTGTTTTAAATCATAGGACAAGACGCTAAGATACTTTCTCAAAGACTCCATGGACGCCAGAACGCTGGCAAAGTGAAAAAAATGATCAATTATCTCTACAAACATCGGTCCACTGTAAAAGTATTCCCCGATGAGACAATTTTCACCGGTTTTGAACCAACGAAACGACGTAAAGATTTCCCCATTCTTTTGCAGCTTGGAAAAAAGCGTGAGTGCTGATGCACCATATTTTTTCAAAGCTGAAACTACAACTTAGGAGGCCATTATGCGTTTCCACATAATTATTCTCTGAGTAGTGAACTTCTTTGACAGAGCTCGCAGCAATGAAACAAAAAATCGAAAAAGTTCTGCAAAGCTAACTTTTCTGTCAGTTTCAACCCAGATCTGAATCCGTCAAATTACCGCGTGCAATGTAACACTCAGAAATTCCACCAAAGTGCAGTGAGACAAGATGTTCAAGGACTACATGGTAAAGGGCTGCGCACCTTATGATTGGGAACAATGAAAGCCACACTGAATAATTTACACTATTTACACATTGTTCGGACTGTTGTCCTCGACTTTATTGTCATATTCACGACGTTTCGATTGTTGCGCGTTCCGGCCTTCTTCAGATGATATCCGTTGGAATTTCGAACCGAAATTTAGTTCACTCGGCTAGACTGTTCTAGTTCCACGTGTCATGCATTTTCTAGATATTTCAGTTTCAGTTATTTCCCTTTAGTAACTTAACAATCAAGATTTTTTGTTTACCTCTGCTTTGGCCAGGTATTGAACTCACAACTCTTTGGGTTAAGTCAGTGGATTATTTCACCTACTCGGTGGAATTGTGATTTATGGAATTCACATAACAAATACGGCTGATGAAACCAAAGATGACATATTCAGATCACGGGTCATGGCATTGACTCTGATTGATTAGTAAATCTCTATTGTTACTCAATACTGTCAGCACTAATAAATCGATTAGCTAATTAATGATTATTTCGATTACTTCATTTAATTCGTTCGCTAATTCAATTACGGTTAGATTTTCGCTTACACAAATTAGGACAACACAACGACAGAAAAATCGCCTGAAATGTTTTAAAATCAGTTTAATCAAAATAAACAGAATGATAGCAATAGATTTTCATAGTCGAATTCTTTCAGAGATTTCGATTACTCTATTTCAATCTGTTCATATCTGTTTCGCATTGTTCAGGTCTATCTTTTATATTTTGGTCACGCATATAATTTCAATTATATCTAACTACTTCAGTCTGCTCGCATCTATCTATCTATCTATCTATCTATCTATTATATAGGAATAAAGTGTCGCTGTCGACACTTGGGTTTGAACACGGATCGCCAGAGAGCATGCACAGTCGAACTCATCTTGAAATAATTAGATCACGTGACGGGTAAAGGGAAAATATATACATGGGAATTAGCGGCATCTGACCGAGTGTCGTTCAAAGGCATTACTATTGTTGTATCTGTCATTTACAAAGACTCTCCTACAAAAGCGCATTACAAAAATAAATCTCTCTCTCTCTCTCTGTCTGTCTGTCTGTCTGTCTGTCTATCTATCTGCCTTCATGTTACTTACGTATTTGTT